TCTCTCTCTCTCTCTCTCTCTCTCTCTCTCTCTCTCTCTCTCTCTCTTTCTCTCTCCCTCTTTGCAAAATATACGTACACATTGTAAAAGAATTCTTGGAAAGAACAAGACAAAAAAATTATTTAAGACGATCTTTTCACGCCAATCACTTTAACTCCATTGCATTCGGTTGTGTTGATTTTTATACTAACCCTTTAGATATATTTTTTATTAAGCTTTAAATGGATTTCTGCCATAAACTAATTGCTGACTTCAGGTATGTTTTCTGTGGGCAAATCGTGCCTACCATTGTAGATAGGTATTTGTATTTGTAAAGTTAATTCAATATTTTCTTTATAATGTAAGTAAATAAGAAGGAAATCATATTTTTTTCTGTTTTATTATTTTTTTTTTTTTTTTTCAATTTTATCTCTGACCGACGCCTAAAAATATGTATATATTACCTCTGATGACGGCCAGATAATAATTTGTAAATTATCGTAGAGCCTTATGCTTATCAAAAACACATTAGAATGAATTTGGATAAAGTGATATAAAGTGACCCAAAATACCAAAAGATATGCATCGAAGAAATTTGACGATACTTGTTCATGATAGACATCAATATGTCCATCCGTCCAAACTTTGCCTACTATTTAAATTCACTTGTAAGTAAAAATTTTATGCACTTTTTTTGCACCTTGAACATATATATATACATATATATATATATATAATTGATCTTATCATGCCCGTCCATCTATCAGTTTGTGCTAACAATATATGCAAAATTAAAACATATTCTGAAAACTATTTTTAATACATATTCTTGATAATATCTAATCGCGATACCGATCCAACTTCTATTAAGTGGAAACTGGATTACCTTCGTACACAAGAGATGTTATTTTAAATCAACAAAGAAATAGAATCATTGCATAATGATCAATTCGGCAAGTGTTGGCATCCTACTAAATATAAATATCATCCGCAGCATCAATTTCAAGTCAAAATAAAATCGGTTCACATTGTTCGGTAATGTATCAAATCATTATAATAGCCAAGCAAAGAAATATGTCCAGTGCTGCACTACAAGATTAAAAATCCAATTAAGTTATCCCACTTATTGCTCTTTGGGGGTTTTTCGATATATGTCACACTGTTCGATATATGTCGCAATCGCATCTCCTGTTGAAGGATAATAACCTCATCTTAAGATACCTTAAGATAAGTCGCTTTTGAGCCAACACTTTTTTTAACTTGATTTAAAAAATTGTTTATTATAAACGATGTAAGAGATTATGCGATTTAAGGGAATTAAATTAGAAAAAGAAGTGAATTTACATTCTTCAATAATTTTATTCATTAAAATGTTAAACCTTAGGCCTTGACATCAGTATTTCATTTGATTTGCTTCAATTTTAATCTAAGTAAATTAATCTGTAAAGTAATATTAAAATTGAAAATTATTTCTCTAATACTTAAACTTTACGTTACGATTTAAAGATAGCAACGAATCAAGAAAAAAAAAAACAAAAAAAAAAATTAACAAAAATTCCCAAAAATAGGTCATGCAACCAATTTTTCGAAATTTAATTGCAATAAAAAAAAATTACAAATAAACACATTGGAAAACATTAAATAAACCATAAAAAAAAAAAAACAAAAATAGGCTTACAATGCAATGCAGTGTAATAAAGGAATAAGATAAACTTTAAAATGAAATATATACAAAACTAAAGTGAATTCACTTGCACATGCAATATATATATATATATATATATATATATATATATTTATATATAAATATATATATATATATAT